ACCTGGACCATTACAGTACTGTTAGAAAGAATCATGCTGTGTAACTCAATAATGCTGTGCTCTGTTTGTACCCATTTACAAGCTAATTCCTTAAGCACTGGACCAGGATGATCCACAAGTTTATTAACACAGACTAGAGATGAGTGGTGCCTCCTGGAGTTGTCCAAAACAGAAAACCTGCATTGGAGTGCAAATTCAACTGGAAAGAAAAACTTGTGCAGTTTGATGACAATTATTTCTTTTGAATGAGATTTCTTTTACTTTCTTTTTTTCTTCTTTTTGCAGTACTATGGTTTTAAGTCAGGGCCTTGCTCTTGCTAGGCACTCTATTGTTTTCTGAGTGTAAAGGTAGGAAGTTTGAGAAAAATCCCTCACCAGGTGAGAGCAGTCCTTGTAGAGGGTTGCCTTTAGTTATTTCTCAAGATAGGGTCTCATACTTTTTCCCTGGGCAGCCTCAGACCAAGATCCTCCTACCAACATGTCCTGTTTAGCTGGGATTACAGACATGTGTCACCACACCCACCTTTTTGTTTGTTCAAATTGGGTCTCACTAACTTTCCCAGGCTGGCCTCAAATCATTGGTGGAATTACAGGCACAAGCCACCATGCCCTGCCCCTGTAGTGTTTCTGTGCCAGCTGCAGAGAACGGGAGGTTAAAGGAAGGTGAATTTTTTTTTTGGTGGGACTGGGATTTGAACTCAGGCTTTGTGCTCACAAAGCAGGAACTCTACTGTTTGAGCCACATGCCATCCCAGAAGGTGAATTTATTCAGGGAGAAGTATTTACAAAATGATAGGGGGTGTAGGACTGGTGCCACCTACACTGGGCCTCTTTGGTAGTCTACATCAACTTAATTTATTATGCTTCCTAGGATCATAAGTGAACAACTCTGGCTTAATCTTAGAAAAGTCGTTTGTGATCAGAACTGAGCACATACTTCAAAGGTATGGAGCCTTTGAAGAAGTCTGAAAGTCCTGCTTCATTTAGAGATAATATGAATTACACATAATAGTGGCATAATATGGAACAAGAATACTTCAGCTGCATAGCACAACGTTTTAGAGTCCTAGGAAGTGTGGCGCCTCATCCCTTCTTCCAAACTGCTCACCTGTTTCTAGTTCATGCTTAAGCAACCCAAGGGCAATGCTTTTGTAGGTTGCTCTGCTGACCCAGAGATAGCATAAGACTTATAGACACTTTGGTTTCTGTTACTGAAGAGGGATTTAATAATAACTGCAAACCAGTTTGTTTATATTTGTAATTGATGAAGACAGTTGCCAGGGCCATTTACAGGTGTAGAAAAAAACACACAAAGCTTTGCTACTGATTATTTTTACTGCACTGTTAAAAATAGTAACATTTGGCATGTGAAATCCTGACAGCTGTCAGTGAATATCCTATGAAGCAAACGTACCAGAGCTAATTCCCACTTTTATTAAAAGTTCATCATTTAACAACACAGAAAACAAATGACACATTCAGAATATTAACTCAAGAACATCGATTAAAGGGACTATTTACAGATGTGTTTAGAATTAAGCCAAACCAGAGATGGGGAAGCACCCAGAGTAGTTATCACCCTCATGTCTGAAGGGCGAGAAGAGGGAATACTGTTAACTGAAACCTGAGGGGGCTGCAGCCACATAGTTCACAGCACGAGCTGCTAACCCTGAGTTGTTGTAGGGAGGAAGGGAGGACACAGACACTCTTAACTTCTCTCCTCTAGCCTCTGATGTCGAACTGGCATCTTCCATTATTCCAACCTAAGAAACCCCTACGAAGCCATCGCCAGCAGACAGACACAGGTGCAGAGCAAAGCAGTGAGAAGTGGATTTAGAGTGGAGGGCATTGAGCATTTGAACAGATCCACATGTGCAACTTCCACTGTGTAGCTGCTTCAACACAGCTCACCCTGAGCCTGAGCAAACAGGCTGCTGCCTCCTCTTCTTTTTTTTTTTTTTTTTGTGGTAGTGAGGTTTGAACTCAGGACCTACACCTGAACCACTCTACCAGCCCTTTTTTTGGGATGGGTTTTTTTGAGATAGGGTCTTGCAAACTAATTGCCTGGGCTGGCTTCAAACTGAGATCAGGCCTCCTGAGTAGCTAGGATTACAGGGGTGAGCCACCAACACTTGGCAAGGAAACTGGTTTCTGGTTCAGATGATGCCATCCACTCAACTATTATTAAAGATTCACACTTGCTATTGTTTTCATATTGCTGTACTTCTAATATCGCATAAGCTCAAAAAACATTATCTTTACTTAGGCTTCAATCAGTCAATACTCTTTTTTTAAAGGATCTGAAAATGAGCAAGTCTTTTATATTTGCTCACATATTCCCTATTTCCATTCTATTATTTTATGCTATCCCAGAACTTCCTTTACTGTTTTTTACAGGCAGGGAGTACAAGTGGTTCATTTTGTGATCTTTCTGAAAAAGCTGTGTTTGCCTTCATTTTTGACAGGTTTTTAATTGACAAAAATTCTAGGTTACAGGGTTTGTTGTTTTTTCACTTGGTCTTCCAGCTTGCAGACCAAAGACAAGAAACATGCTGCTGTTCTTTGTTCCCATGTATTTTTTCCCTTTAGGTGCTTGAAAATTGTTCACTTGCTGGGTGCCAGTGTCTTGCGCCTGTAATCCTAGCTACCTGGGAGGTTAAAATCGGGAGGATCATGGCTTGAAGTCAGCAAGGCAAATAGCTTATAAGACCCCATATCCAAAAATAATCAGAGCAAAATGGACTAGAGGTGTGGCTCACATAGTTGAGCACTTGCTTTGCAAATGTGAACCTTGAGTCAAACCCCAGTTACACCAAAAAACTTAAAAGAATAAATTTAAAAAATTGGTGGTTTAAATCAGTGTGATGTGCACTGCTGTGATTGTCTGTTATTTATCTGATTAGGGTTCTTTAGACTTCCTTACTGTTGGATTATAGTTTTTTTTTTTAATATTCGGAAGATTTTCAGCTATTTACTCAAATACTTTAAAAAAAATTTTTAAAGACAGTGTCTTATTATATAGCTCGAGCTGGCCTTAAATTCTTGAACTTCTTATTTCAGTCTTAGAGTGCTGGGATGACAGGTATGTGTGCATCACCACAGGCTGCTTCAAATACTTGTCTTCTCTTCTTTTGGGACACCAACCTGTTTTTCTTTATCTTTTTTGTGGCGGTACAGGGGTTTTCAAACTCACAAACTATTTTCTTGAACCATGATCTTTCCAATCTCAGCCTCCCAAGTACCTAGGATTACGGGCGTGACCCACCAGCCTGGGCTCTTTCTATTCTTTAAAAGTGTCTTTCACTTTGTATATCATTGGTATTTAATTTACACTTCTAGTTCGCTGATTTTTTTCTTTTTTTCTGTGTCTAATTGTTCTTCTAATTCTAATCAGCATTAAAAAAAAACCTTTCAGTAATGTTTTCAACCTTACAAGTTCCATATGTACTTTTTTTCTTTTTTTGGTGGTACTAAGTTTGAACTCAGGGCCTCACGCTTGCTAGGCAGGTATTCTACAACCTTTTTTTTGTGTTAGGTATTTTCAAGGTAGAGTCTCATGAACTATTTGCCTGGACTGGCTTCGGACTGCAATCCTCCTGATATCTGCCTCCTGAGTAGCTAAGATTATAGGTGTGAGGCACCAGCACCTGGCTCCACTTGGACCTTTAAAAATGAACCTGACTCTCATGTTGCATCAGATGTGTGTTCTCCTATATTTTATATTTATGACAGCTATTTTAAATGTCCTGTCCACTGACTCCATTACTTATTTCTCCTGGATGTGCTTCTGTCAACTGCTTCTTCTCTTGGCCATAAGCCACACTGTTTCTTTGGATGCTGTGTGAGTTCAGATGAGAGACACTGTGGCTTGAGTATCCTTTGATCTAGGGCTATTAGTTCCACTATTAAAACAGCACCCTTATGAGAGTTCTACCTGCTGCCCATGTGTTACATGTTTCTACCCTGGCTGGTGGGAACCTGACTATTCCCAGCCCTCCATAAAGTTCAAGATTTGTTCTCTAAACTGCTTTCCAGGGCTTCCTTTCCTGCGTAAGGAAGATTCTTTTCACTTATGTGAAATCACAACTAAGCAAAGGGTTCAAAGAGGCTCCCTAATGATTTCTGGAGCACTATCCTCTCCAGTACTTTTCCCCGCAAATGCTAACTCTCTTCGTTTTAGTAGTGTTTGGTACCTTCACTGAAGAGCAACCTGGAAATTGCTACCAGGCAGTAGGCTGGGCAATCACAAGGCTCACCTCGATGCGTGTGTCTTCCTTACACCAGGGACCACAAATCTGTGCTTGTCCTAAGTCCAAATTTTTGCATCAGTAGCCATGACATAGAATCAACCTAGTTGCCCATCAACAGATGAATGGAAGAAGAAAATGTGGTGGTATATGTACACAATAAAATAGTCTTAGACAAAGAATGAAATCCTATCATTTGCAGCAATATCAATGTAACACACAAGGACATTATGTAAAATGAAACAAGTCAGTCACAGAAATACAAACGCCACATACAGAAGATGTGTAAATCATTCAAAGATAATCTCAAGGAAGTAGAGAACAGAATGGTGGTTACTAGAGCCTGGAGATTTGTGAAGGTACAAGAGTGGACAGAAGATGACTAAGGAGTCTAGGATACAGTTGCCCAGGAGAAATAACTTCTAATGTTCAGAAAACAGTAAAGTGACTGTGGTTGGCAATGAGTGAGTAATTAAAAATAAGTAACAGAGAGGATTTTGATGATCCCAACACAGAGAAATGAATCAGAGGTAACAGACATTCCACTTACCCTGATCTGACCATTGTATACATGTATTGAAATGCCACACTGTACACCACAGATATATATGATTACTATGTGACAATTAAAAACACGTAAATTAGAAAAATTATCTCACATATATTGTACGGTTTCTAGCTGTTTAAGGCAGGTAAGTTAATCTGATTGTGACTCCACAGCAGAAATCTCACTCAAAGAAACATATCTGCTATTTCAAACTGACTATTTTTCTCTGGCATTTCATATACAGTCAACACAACTTCATAGGATCAGCCTATCATACTCTTCGTATCATCAAGACTACTCCTTGGTATGAAGTCTGAGACTTAATAGTCACCATTTTCTTTTGTAAGCATTCTCAAGTATTGACTGGGTTGTCCTTTCTGGATGAGATCTTTGACTCACTCACTACGGTAGCTTTTCTTCTGTTTAGTACCTGTGATTTCTCACTGAATGCTCCTGCACTACCTCCAGCAGTAATAACATTTTCACTTTGAAAAGTCAGGAGATGCAATGAATTATGTCTTCTGGGAGAAAGCTTTTCATCTTTTATAAACATTCTCTCCTTTCTGAAGTCTGTTTAGTGACTCCTGACTCCCTAGTTAGCTTTGTCAGCCATCACTGCCTCAATATGGATCTCTTCTGTATATATCCTCAGAATGGTTAGCTGGATACTGGATAGCATCTTTGCACACTCACTGCACTCATGTGGCTTCCATGATTTCTCTGATGTATCATGAGCTGCGGCTTCCTGTTGAAGGTAACCCCACATTCACTGCACCCATAGTATTTATCTCCTGTGTGAATTCTCTGATGCCTCATTAGGTGTGACTTCCTAGTGAAAGATTTCCTACATTCTCCACACTTATAGGGCCTCTCTCCTGTATGAATTCTCTGGTGGATGATGAGCTGTGCCTTCTCAAAGAAAGCTTTTGTGCAATCACTGCATGCGTAAGTTTTCTCTCCTGTGTGGTTTCTCTGATGCTTAATAAGTTGCACCTTCTGAACAAAGGCTTTCCCACACTCACTGCATTCATAGGGTTTCTCTCCTGTGTGAATCCTCTGATGCCTAAGAAGCTGCGGTTTCCAAGCAAAAGCTTTCCTACATTCACTACATTCAAAAGGCTTTTCTCCAGTATGAGTCCTCTGATGATGAATGAGACTCGACTTCTCACTGAAGGTTTTCTCACATTCACTACATTTGTAGGGTTTTTCACCTGTATGCGTCCTCTGATGTGATATCAAGCTTGACTTCTGGGAGAAGGCCTTTCCACATTCACTACACTGATAAGGTTTCTCCCCAGTGTGAGTCCTCTGATGTGTTAAGAGCTGTGACTTCCCAAAGAAGGTTTTGCCACACTCGACACATCCATAGGGTTTCTCCCCTAAGTGACTTTTTTGATGTCTTACTAGCTCTGACTTCTTGAAGAAGGCTTCCTCACAATCGCTGCATTGATACTTCTTCTCTCCTGTGTGGGTCATCTGATGTTTAATAAGCTGTGGCTTTCTGATGAAGGCTTCACCACATTCACTGCATCCATAGGGTTTCTCTCCTGTGTGAATCCTCTGATGCCTAATGAGGAGCGAATTCCTGCTGAAGGCTTTTTTACACTCACCACATGCATAAGGTTTCTTCCCTGTATGAGACCTCTGATGCGTAATGAGCTGTGACTTCCAAAAGAAAGCTTTTCCACAGTCGCTACATTTATAGGGCTTCTCTCCTGTATGTGTTCTTTGATGTGTGATGAGCTTTAATTTCTGGGAGAAAGCTTTCCCACAGTCACTGCAGCCATAGGGTTTCTCTATTGTATGAATTAGCTGATGTCTTTTAAGCTGTGACTTCCTGCTGAAGGCTTTACCACATTCACTGCAGTTATAGGGCTTCTCTCCAGTATGAGTTCTTCGATGGAGAACCAGCAATGACTTCCTGCTAAAAGCCTTCTGACACTCATCACACCCATAAGGCTTTTCTCCCGAGTGAGTCCTTCGGTGAAGAGTGAGCAGTGACTTCTGTGAGAAGGCTTTTCCACACTCATTACACTGGTATGGCTTTTCTCCTGTGTGAGTTCTCTGGTGTGTAGTAAGCTGTGACTTCTTGTTAAAAACTTTGCCACATTCCATGCATAAATAGACTCCCATGTGTGGTGTATGATTTGTAATGACCCCTGACTCTTTGCTGCTAGTTTTTCTATGTTTATTGCAATCATAGTATTTTATTTCACCATAGGTTTTGTCAGGTTTTAAACAGAACAATAATTTCCTGTTGAGTTCATCAAATTTCTTTCTTCCATAGTCATTTTTTGAAAAAAGAACATCAAAAGGATGTTTCACACTTCCTTCACCTGTGCCACATTCATGGAGTCTCATTCCTAAATTAACAAAGTTCATGCTTGAGTTAAATATTTTGCTAAGAAAGTTATGTCCGTGGCCTCTCTCCACATGTTTAAGCTTGTCTTGATTATCTTCATGCCATAGTTTGGAATCATTGTCTGGCCAGACTTCTAAAAAGGAAAAAAATAATAACACTGTAATTTCTTCAGTGATTATGCTCATGAGTAAAGCTTCTGCAGTGGAGTCTACAGTCTGGGAAGTGGGTAGCCCCAAATAATATCTACTTATCAGGCATTGAAAATTTTTTGGTTTTGGGTTTTGGGTATGTAGCCCAAGCTGGTCTCATTTTTTTTTCAGTACTGGGGATTGAACTCAGGGCCTCACATTTGCTGGGCAGATGCTCTAACACTTGAGTCAGCCCTTTTTTTGCATTGGTTATTTATTTATTTTGGTGGCACTGGAGTTTGAACTCAGGGCTTCATGCTTGCTAGGCAGGTACTCTATTCCTGGAGCCACTCTCCAGCCTTTTTTTTTTTTTTTTT